AAGCCAACGGTGACGGTCTGTTGGGACTGATGCGTAACGCTTCACTGTCGGGCTTGGGAACGAGTCAGGGCTTCCTGGCCGAAATGGACCCTGGGACAGCCATTGCTATGGCGAATTGGACTGGACAGGCAGCGAGCGCCAGACGAGCCTGCAATCTCGCCGTTAATGAACAATTTCAAGGTCTGGCGTACGGCAAAGGGAGCGGACTATAGGCATCAAAGCCTCGTGCTGTAAAAGATGCTGTCTTGTGCCCCCCAAAGCATCTTGCCGTTGCGCACTGGAAGATAGACAAGACACAGCAGTGGATCAAGCCGGCTGCGATCTTGGCTCGCGGGGGAAGTAGAATCAGTGCCGTAGTGATAGGCATTAGTGGCGGGTTCTTCCCAGTTCAGTCTGGCTTATTCGAACGTTGAGGGGTTGTTGACGACAGAAGACTGCCGGACGCGAAACCGGAGGAGAGTCCAAAAGGATGGAGCCTGTGGGTGTGGACATGAGCGAAGAAGTGGGAGGGAACCGAAGAGGGCTGCAGCAACAGCGAGACTGGAGAGTGCTCAGAAGACTGGGGGAGGGGAGATGGCGTTCTGTTGCCAAGAATCGCCAAGGCCATTTCATGTTGTTGAGTTTGGAGAGTCGACGTTGGTTCGCAGATTCGGTCTGGAAGTCTGGAAGCCTTTGGCCTAAAAAGGGGGCTGACCCATGCTGTCCCCGGTTACCCCATGAGCCCCCCGGTTGGGACAGACGCGTCCCTGTGGATATCCTGGTCTCGTGCAGGGCAGGGAAGCACATCCATGGACGAGGTCGGGTTGGATGCAGATATGGTATCCTGTCACCTGTATCCGTACGTACAGGGCACCGGATGCCAGAGCGAACGAGAGAGTGAGGGCTCTCCGTCAGCGTCGTATCAATCACTTTCTGATCTGTGTTTCGTCAGCAACCAAGCGACCGGCCAGATCCTCAGCCAGTCAACGCTGGCGCCATGAGCAAGTATACATGCTTGCAATTGGAGTCCCAAAAAAGATTGCTGCACCGGTTTGCTGCCTCGAGGAAGGAAGGAGCCATCCATCAGTAATTCAGCCGTGCGAGTTGCCGCAAGACGAGCAGGAAGGAGCACTCCTCCCACCTTCCATGGGAGGTTCTAGTTTCCCAGGTTGGCTCCCACGCTCCTTCCATAATCTCAGTTCCCGGGGGTTTGACTGGACGAACCGGTCCCACTGGGTTGGAGCGATGTGGAACCGAGCTTCTCAACGCTGGCCATTCAGAGCTCATGGTTATCTCAGCCAGCGCTTTCGACAAATGGAGCTCCCCCAAAGATGAAGGCGGGTGGGCGTTCTCGACCCAACGTGCCTAAACTTAAACCTAATCTGGCGGGGCGGCACCAGTTAAAATCTTGGGGTAACGATACGTACCTCCAGACGTATCTTATCTTACCGTCGTACGAATACACCATCCACCTCTCTCACGTCTGTGAGCTTCAGTTGGTGCTTCCGTCGCCATTTTCAGTTACACCACGGGCAGTTGGTCCTGTCACCAGCGAGTGTGGCGGACGCTAGGGCCGAGGGAGCCTCTCTTTGACTCGGCTACCCAGCATGCAGCATTGAGGACGTGTGTGTTTAACCCGCTTTACGTTTCTTCTCCCGTATCCGCTGCGACAGCCAGCTGAAGCGCCTTCATCAGCCACGTTTCCCTGACCCGAGCTCCCCCTGTTCGTATCCAATGTCATTCTGTCTTACCGCTGATCAGTCAGATACAACTATCCGTATGTGGTACATGCTAGGGTACCTACCGTAGGAAGCAAGTCCAAACCAGCACCGGGCAACGGCCCCCCCCCCGTCATTTCCAACTCCAGGTCTCCACTGGCCCCGAATCCCCAGGAAAAGGGACCTCAGGTTTCCAAAGAAGCCCGCGAAATGCGGGCGTACCCCGTGTCCTGTCAAAACATGTGCCTGCTTTGCCTGCGCAACAGTTGGCGGGGAACGGTGGCGGAGCAGGCTAGTCTGTGCCAAGCTGTCGGAAACTCGGTCGTGCTGCCTGATTTGGCTCGCTTCGTCCGGGGTCCTGCCAGCCAAGACTTTTAGACGACATCGACGACCACGTCCTCATCCTGTCCTCATCTTTTCCCATCCATGTCCACGACGGCTTCCACCGCCTTACCTCGCAGCCATTCTTCTCTCCCATCGCCGCCTACATCCCGTCCCGTCTGCGCCCAGCAAGGTGCCTCATGCCTCTCCCGTCTTGACTGCATTCACCAGCTTCATTTTTTGTGGCGTCTACCCTCCCCTCGCTACAAGCCTGTTCCCTTACCCGCCCATCTCCCTGCCACCGTGCGCCCCCAAATCTCTTGTCCATGTATCACCAAGTGTTGATGGCTTTCTGATTGAGGAAAATATTCCATTTGACCGGCGCTAATTCCTCTAGCACTCCGGTACACGTGGCTGTAGGTTCAGCCAAGAAATGTCTGGCATGCCTCTCATCGCGACGGAATACTACCCGTCGTCTGTGTGACGCTTGGTGTCTTGGTGGCTGCCAGCACGAGAGGGAACATCTTTGTCGTCTCGGTGGAAAGGCACCATGGAATAGACCCTCTTGGCTGCGGCATCCCGTGCTCTGGGATCAGGAACCGTGTCCTCGAAGCTTGAGCTTAGAAGCATCCCCAATATCCGGATACCGAGAGTCTATGCCGTCACACACCCACACATGGCGAAGGGATTGTCACCGTAGAGAACATCGCGATGGATGGAGTTGTAAAGGCCAAGCTAAGTGGCACTGCAGCCTTGGCTCGCGGAGCGGAGAGTTCGGATGCTCGCGTCTGTCGTAGCACCGTCCAGGTCCGTGTCTCTCGCGCATGCCTGCGTTGTCTTGCATTCAACATTTCTGGGGCTTACGCTGTCTCAACCAGCAGTATGGTTCGCGAAATGCTGCTTTCCTGGCTATGGCGAATTTGAGGAGCCCACAGGCCAATGTTACCCTCCGGGCTGGATAGCCGCATTCCGAAGCCTGTGAAGTCCTTCTGTCGTTTGTGGAAAATCCGGTTGCATAAACGGTATCATAGATGCAGAACCGCGTCCATGACCAAAGGAAGAAGGAGCAGTCCGATAATATCATGGGGATTGGTTAGCACGCCAGCTGCTTGGGTCCTGACTTATGCTTTGTGGAGCATGGGATGGGATGGGATGTGGGCAAGGGAGAAGGGTTCTGCTTGTGTTCGTTGAAAACGCTTAGGCCAGCATTACTTGTTGCAAAGGAGGCTAGCGACAATGTTGCCCCAAAACCTCATTTCAAAAAAAAAAAAAAAACGAAAGTCCTCGAGGTCCATATCCACTCAGCCGAGCTGGAGGCATGGCTGGGGCTAGGAGATCCCAGCTTGGCCCTCTTGGCGGCTGCACTCCCACGGGGTAAAGAGGTTGAGGCCAGGCGGAAGAAATCAGATTGGTATGCGGGGGAAAGATTGGATGCGGAGCATGCCCCCATAGATTGTTTGGGGAAGTTGGAACTGCCAGCCCAGGGACTTTGGCGGGACACTGACTGAGTGGATGAACGGGGCAGACAGACATGGGACGGGTGGCAACGATGCGGCCGTTGGCTTGCTTTGGATGTGGATGTGTGACTCTGCTTCCATGATTACACTCTTCGTACCCCAGAGACCTGAGGGCCTCGTCAACTACGCACCAGACTACGTATGTGTGACACAGCTGAAGGCGCTATTCTGGTTGATGGATCGTGAGCAAACGGTCGTGTCCGCCGGTGATTGTCCAGATATGTTGGGCAAATCTATGATTATCTTGGACGCACGCTACTGCTGCGCGCCCACCGCATGCTTCGGTGGTCATCAACGTCGTCGCGCCGTATCTTGCGCACAGGTCATGGTAAGTAAGGCAGGGTAATGTACAGTAGGTACCTAGGTAAGGTAGGGATACATGGCCTCGATGGCGGGACTGCCTCAGCTGCACTAAGGCGAGATAGGCGTGGCGCCGGGCAGCCTATGACTGGCCCGGACGGGGCAGCTCAAGAGCCAAAACGGGATAAGCTGACAGGATCCGAATCCTGAGAAGCGGCAGAGTAGCAACGCTTCTAGCTCGCCGTCTCGGGGATGAGGTAGCGAAGGGTGCATGTACATACTTGCAAAGGTACCGCGCCTTACAGACTGACCGCAGAAATGACCAGGCCTCGGGCTGCTTCACATACAGACACAGAGAACCTCAGCGACAGACACACCCTGGTCTGGTACCTAAGGTAGGTAGGAAGAAGTTAGGGGTTGCTTGGAACCAGCCCGGCGAGACATCCGGACCTTTTTTTGCTATTCTCTTTACTTTTTTGCTTTCCCACAACCATGAATTTTGAGCAGTTTGCCAAGACATTAGACCATATGGATATATGGATGGGGTTGGTGCCATCGGATTCATTTAAAGAGGAGAGCTTCGTCCGGGGTCCTATCTTCCTCTCACGGATCTCTCCTGCCTTTCTCCTTCTTTTCTCATGCCCGATCTGCGCCGCTCTTGCACCTGCACCTGCACCTGCTTTCGCATCTGCTCTTGCAACTGATCGCCCTGTTTGTTTCTCTCGCGATTAAGGTCAAGTGAGACAGAAGCAAGACGATTAGTCTCGGGCTTCATCCTTCCCCCTCCGCCGTCGCTAGCCCAGGCCGCCCTTCTCAACAATACCAACGCCTCGTCTCATTTCGCCAGAGTGCCAATATTAGAAGCCGAAAGCTTGCATTGCTCTAGAGCCGCGGATAACTGCAGCACCCCTACTCAGCTGCATTCTCTTCACCTGGAGAGGCGCTCACTTTGATTGGCTTCCGAGCTTCACCTGGCTCTCTTTTCCGAGACACCCAGCAACTTTCGTGTGAGCTGTCTCACGCTTCGTCAAAGCACTTACACGCACTCGAATCCTTCCCGCGTCAAGTGTCGGCCACTTATCTTCCGGCGCTCCCCCGCTATTCCGACATCTCGCTCGTCGCAACCTCATCTTTCAAAACGTTGCACCTCTAAATAACTCTCAAAATGTCGTCAACCTCTGAGAAGGACATCAAGTCCCAGGGCGTCATCGACCCCTCGATCGAGGTCGAGTACGTCAGCGATCCCGAGAGGAGCGGCTTTGACCAAGCCGCTACCAAGAGGCTTTTGCGCAAGATGGACTGGGCTCTCATTCCCTTCCTCGCTCTGCTGTATTTGCTGTCCTTCCTGGACCGTACCAACATCGGAAACGCTCGTCTTGCCGGGATCGAGACAGACTTGGGCATGAAGGGTCTCGACTACAATGTTGCACTCTCCGTCTTCTTCCCCTGGTACGTGGCCGCTGAGATCCCCTCCAACCTGGCCATGAAGCGTTTCCGCCCCTCCATTTGGATTCCCTCCATCATGATTGCCTGGGGTATCTGCTGCACCCTTATGGGTCTCGTTCACAACTACGCCGGTCTCCTGGCTGCGCGCATGGCTCTCGGTCTTGCTGAGGGCGGTCTGTTTCCCGGCATTACTTACTAGTAAGTGTGAAAACACTCCAGAATCCCCCAAAACTCATCTGACGAACTGATTTCCAGCATCACAATGTGGTACCGTCGTCACGAGTGCGGTTTCCGTATGGCCATTTTCTTCTCCGCTGCTACCGCGGCCGGCGCCTTCGGAGGTCTCGCTCGCGGCATCGTCGAAATGAAAGGCGTCGGCGGCAAGCCTGGCTGGGCCTGGATCTTCATTCTCGAGGGTATCATCACTCTCGCCGTTGGTAAGTATCCTGATTCTTTCTTCCCTCTGATGCTTCAAGACTAACGGGGTTGCTCTTTCTCAGCCGTTGCTGCATTCTTTATCATGAATGACTACCCCGCTACCGCGAAGTTCCTCACCACCGCCGAGAAGGAGGAAGTCACCCGCCGCCTCGAGCAGGACCGCTCCGCTCTCGCCGACGAGTTTGACATGGCTTACTTCTGGGATGCGCTCAAGGACTGGAAGATCTGGGTTCACATGGTGAGTAATAGTTATCGCAGAAGTTCCAATCCTCCTGGGTCGCGTGGCTAACGTATGGTTTCCTCACCAGCTTATCACCATCGGAATTTACACTCCTTTGTACTCCTACTCTCTCTTCCTCCCGACCATTGTTCAGGGTCTGGGTTACACCAACAACACTGCTCAGCTCATGGTAAATCAAGCCCTTCAGCGATACAGTTGAGTCATACTTACCATCTTTAGACCGTCCCTCCTTACGTCGTAGCGTGCGTCTGCTGTATCAGCGGAGGCTGGTTGGCTGATCGTCACCGACAGAGAGGTATCTACATGATCTTCTTCTGCGCTGTGGGGTAAGTTACGCCTTTGTCCTCTGGTACCACACACCACATCCTAACGCTGTCAGCATCATCGGCTTCATCATGCTTCTCGCAGCTAAGAGCAACGGTGTCAAATACGCCGGCTGCTTCTTTGCTGCCTCTGGCATTTACCCCAACGTGCCCCAGGGTGTTGCCTGGAACGGCAACAACATTGGCGGGTCTGTCAAGCGAGGTGTCGGTATCGCCATGCACGTTGGCTTCGGCAATCTTGGCGGTGCCATCGCCGGTTTCCTGTACCAGGCCAAGGACAAGCCCCACTACTACCCGGGACACGGCACCCTCCTCTCGACCATGACAATGTCCATGATTCTCTCCACGTTCATGACTATCTACCTGCGTCGCGAGAACGCCCGCCGAGACCGCGAGTACAAGGACCCGAGTCAGTACACCACCGAGGAGAAGGCTGCCGAGCGCACCAAGGGTGACAACGCCACCTTCTTCCGTTACACCGTCTAAGAAGCCTGTGTTTGTTGTTTCGATTTAGCGAGTATTTGCTTTGCAAGTTGGTTGGATTCTCATCTACTCTTAAATGGAGTTATGAACGATGCGACGGCAGCCTATATGCGAGGGAAGGAAGGGTCATGAGTGAAAATGAAAGACAATCGGGTACCTCAGTGGCTATAGAATTGCATCACAGGAGATAGAGGAATATCCACGCCGAATGAGTTCTTGATGAGCATGAGTTCTTACTTGTATCGGCCTGTTCTGGAGTCACGCTTCGTCTCCATCAACCGGCGTTCTACATTCGCTCATGTCATTAGACAAGTCTCCGTTAAACTACCTATAGCGAGCGGAGGGTTGACCACTAACATGCCATGAACCCCCTTGTGAATACACCCCGATGACGAGTTCTTCCTTTCCGGCAGCAGCCTCCATCAGCACCGCTGTCTCTTACTGTCGCAGAACCATCAAGAAGCCTCCCTATAAGACAGATGAATGTCCTAGTGCGGTGAGGAGGGGACTGTCTTGGCCCACTTGGCCTTCTCCATCTCTTTCTAGCCATCGAGGCATGCTCGTCACATGAGGATAATAAAACCGGCGCCAGTGGCTGAGCCACAACCCCAACTTATGGTGCTACCCGATGACGCCTTGCAAAGCAGAGCCTGGTCCCGTTTGCTAGTGTCCTCGACGGCGCCGTGTCTGTAAGTTATGCTTAACTCTTGGCATCTAACATCCGTTCCCCCGAAACGTGGGGTTGACGGGGGCAGGTGGGGTGCGGTAGCTTCGACGCAGGCACTAATTTCGGCCGCTTGGCGCCGGCGGAAGGGGAGGCCAATTCCGTGGACCTGGGGCCGGCCGACTTTGGTTTCGGTTGGCTCTTGACAGGTGTCACGCATACATGTATGTGTCAGGCACCGTGCTGGATCTTGCTGCCCACGCGCGGAGTACGGTGGATCGTGCAGTGGTTCTTCTTTGACAGGCCTCAGTGTGTTGCGGGGTGAGCAGGGTGGTTCCTTGTCTCTGGCTGGGGGGTGGAGGAGGATGGGTGCAGAGGGATCTGATCTGGGCCGTGTGGGTTTTGATGGCTGGCTCCGGATCCAGGGACGCGGGACTTTGTCGTATGATTTGATCACTGTTCGGGCGGTGTCACCAACGTCATTTCATCTACCTCGCCTCGAGGCCCCCTACATCATTGCCCCGTCTGTGTCATGATCCATTTTTTGGCCATTTCCGCTATCGTTCTCGCACTTGCCGTGCCTATCCATGATCTCCAAATACGACTTGTGTAGTATCCCTCAAACAATAGACCCGGTCCAAGCCCGAAATGCCACTTCACGAAGATGTGGGCAATAATATTATGTCCATTGGCGAACTGTCATCCGACACAAGATGACAAGCTTCTCTGGATAATTGATCTCACTCACTGCGTAGACGAGGGGAACAAAAATGGCCAGATCGATTGGGTGAAGGAAAAGAACAGGCGTAGAAGATGACCAGTCATATGAAGTGTGCATAGGGTGTAATTCTTCCTTGACTATCATTCGATCATGGTCTGTTTATCACAAGATTGCTGCAGTGAAAAGAAGGCAGAAAGTCCCGGAAAGAGCAACCAGCCAACCTAGTGCTGGTTCTATTGCGGTATTCAAACACGAGATCCGGACCTCCCTTGAAAGCTAGCATTACATATTGCGGTAGACAAATAGTTTTACAACATCAAATGAAGATCTTTCACTTCTCGCCGTTGGTTCCCGAGATCAAGCCACTCTCGCTGTGCTGAACAGTGGCCTTCGGTTGCACGTCATGGTGCTCGTGATGATCATCAACCTCGTAAAGCGCGGGGAAAGGAGACACATCACGTCGTAACAAGTACTTGTTCACGTACCAAGGCATCTTGGAAGTGTAGTACTTTGCATGGTCCCTGTTGCGCACCGAGAAGACGCTGTCGAGCTCCTCCAGCGTCAGGTTCTTCGTCTCGGGGAGGAAGAAGTACGCCACGACAAAACCAAAGAGGTTCCAGCAGGCGTACCACAGGAACGCGCCCGTCGGGGTGAAGGCCTTGGACATGGACGGCCAGGAGAAGCTGATGATGAAGTTGAAGCCCCAGGTCACGGCCGTGGCGCTGCTCATGCCGATGTCGCGGATGTGCAGCGGGAAGGCCTCGGCGCAGTACGTGAACGGGACCGGCCCGGCTCCGGGGGAGTACACGGCGGCGAAGATGTAGATTCCGGTGGCGATGCAGGCGAGCTTCGCGGTTCCTTCGGGGATGTAGAAGCTGAAGCCGGTGAAGATGAGGGAGAGGGACATTAAGGGGAAGGTGACCAGCAGGAGCTGCGTGAACGTTAGTAATATGTCTGCCAGCGCTAGGAATGAACTTACGTTTCTTCTTCCGAATGTGTCGATGGTATAGAATGCTGGAAGGGCGAAGAGCCAGTTGATGAGGCCCATGCCCATGCTGGTGAGCAACGCCTCAGACCTGGTGAAGCCTCCATCCTGGAAGATGGCCGTGCTGTAGTACATGCTGTGGATGTGTTAGCTGTATGATCTTTTATTTCATATAGTCGAGCCATGAGCGCAGCCAAATACGCTGCCGTCACTGGCGAAGTTTGGCGGAACGGGCTGCCGAAGGGTTCTCGGGCGAAAGCTCCGGTTCCGGCCCCGCCACGGATGTCGAGTGGATCTCATCATCGGTCCGGCCGGCTTCTGAGGCCCGGCTCTGTATTCTCAGAAAGGGTGGGAAAGTACTGACACAACATTGATTCCACAGAACTGTCACATCATTCGTTAGCATGAGGACTTTGGCAGTGCCGATCCATCACATACCTGTTGCATAAACATGACAAAGTAGGAAAAGGTCGCAGCGCGTCTGTTTCTCCGGACGGTGAAGAACTCCTTCCAGGTGCGGCCGCTACGGGCCTGGGTCTCAACTTCGAGGAGCTTGTGCGCATAGTACATGTCTCGGGTTGCCTGGATGACGTGCTTGCGCAACCGGCGTACCGACCTGAAGGCCTTGTCGTACTTGCCCTTCTCCATGTACCAGCGCGGGCTCTCGGGGCAGAAGTAGACCTGTTGATAGTGAGTCAGAAAGGGTGAATTTATATAGAGAGAGGTCAATTACCTGGCACATTACAAGCAATGGGGGAAGAGATGTGCTTCCAAGCATCCAGCGCCACTGGGTATCTTCTCCGAGGAAGTCGGTATGTCGGAACGCGACTGAGACGATCAATCCCAGGGCAATTCCGAAAGCTTCGACGTGTTAGTCAAACATACTTTTCGAGATTGCGGTGATATCTGTACCTGTCCACATCTGCCACATCATGGTCAACGCCCCGCGAATAGTTTTCGGTGTACTTTCAGCGCTGTACACAGGGGTTGTGCTGCTTTTTGCGCCAACGGCAAGACCAAGGCCGAGGCGAGCGATGAAGAGATTGTACCATCTATCACGTGTGTCAGTCACAGCCAATATTTATGATTTGGAGAGGGACCTCACGTGTCGGCGGCAGCCATCCAGAATCCCGTCACGACGGAAAAGAAGCATGAGATGAAAATAGTTCCGCGCCGGCCAGTCCATTTGTTGAGATAAGGACTCGTCCAACACCCGAAGAGAGCACTGCAAAGGTATGGGGCTACGTGGATTGTCAGAACATGTACTACTCGGCACGGTTTGGGTGGAAGCATACCGCCGTTGATCAGCCCCTGCATCAATGGGTCTGTAATGTCGAATGTCGTGTAATAGAACTCTTGGGCTCCGTTTACTGCCGTCTGGTCCATCCCCTGCACAATGGCCGACCCGGCGCACAGGGAGCAGAGGAAGTACAGCATGAATGGCTGATCCCAGCGGTGGTTGACCTCTCTCCGGAGCATTGCCTTCTCTTCCTCGTTGAGAGCCGTGATAGTCTCGAAGCCGTCAGGCCGATTGCTGGCCTGGGCAACCAGAGCGCCCTTTCGGAATTCTTCCTTGTATTCGGTTAAGCCGTACTTGTCGGTGAATGTGTCGACATCTTTGATGAGCTCGTCGTGACTCAACCCCACCAAGGGGTTCCGGAGGAGAGCGGCGGTGGAGGTTCGCGCGGCCTTGTCTGGAGGGCCATCGCTCCCCGACGTGCGAGTGCCGGTATGGAGGTCCTCCGCCGGAGGAGACTCCGTGTCTACCTTGGAGGGAGGCATTGCGACAGATCAGAGGACTGTGTACCAAGCAATATTGCAGAGACGCAAGTCTGTTTGGTGGGCCGAGTCTCGGGGATCAACAATGATCATGGAGGAGCAGAAAAGAGGGGAGTATGGAGAAGAGGAGGGATGAAAGGTGTTTATAGACATCCAACCCCATGGGCATTACCCTCCTCATGGTATCGACAAGACGTTGCATGTGGGCCCCCGGTGCTCCAAGATTGAGGGGTCTTTCTTGGTTCATGATGGCATACACGGCCGGGCACCAATCTCTGCGTTCAACGAAGATGGATGAGTGGAACGTCCAAGACTGGAGTCTGGGAGTCGGCGGTCAAGTCGAGGCTGCATACTGGGCCATCTGACCACCGCTTGGTCGAATATGTGCGGGTGTTCTGTCCAAGCCAAGGAGTGTTTAGTGGAGCAAGGCGTTGCCTCCTGCACATGGGCGACCTCGACGGCGGTAACACCGTGTAACATCTCGTGCTGGTTGACCACCAGGAAGGGAAATGTGGTGGGTCTTTCGCCCATTCGGAGAGACGGTAAGTGAAGTTGCACCCGGCATATTCTACGCGTTGCTGCATTTCCTGCACTTCAAAGCTGAGATGACGTCGTCCAGCATTCGGTGTTTTGAACTCTCGATATTGTACAGTTCAATTGCCATAGAAGTTCACTTGCAAGCTGTCAACAAACACATCCGGGTCGGGTCTTCAGCTGCTCCAGCATTAACGCTTTCTACTGCTAAGTGCACCAGATGAGTGACTACGGCGAACATTGACCAGAGCCGCCAAACAAAACCAGATGCTGGCCAGCCGCGTCGAAAACCAGACGTCGACAGTCTCTCACGGCCGGTCAGCCTCCAAGACGGCCGCCAAGGCGACGTTGGTGGCAGTCGGGTGATGATCAGCGGCACCGCCAAGCGGACCTCGTGCTCGGCGGCGGGGCCTCCGACTTTGAGGACGCAGTAAGCGGCCGTACGAGAGGTAGAAAATCGGTAGGCCCCCTGGACACGGTCTCGGCGCGCGGCGCGGCACTCGTCACACCCGCGGGATTAAAGCACCAGGAGCCGGACATTGTCCCCTGCTTCGAGTGTTCGAGCCGCCGGAAGCCTCGCCTTCTCGATGAAAAGTTTGCAAAATCTTTCAATCGCCTGGTACGTATGACTTCATACCAAGCCTTCAGCAAGTCTGGGCCGCAATCCTTCCGGTCGCTCGACGGCAACCTCGATTACATGCTACGGCGCGCTGCAGGATTCCTCCCGTTGGTTGCGCGCCTTCTTACTTACATCGCAGTTCCGGCAAACAAGCACCGAGACGTCTGCTTGCCTGTTGGTCGCTTCCGTGCGGCGTCGACGTCCCATGTCCGAGGCGCACTTCATGAAATCGTAGTTGCAATCCTCCTGTCGTCATCCATTCATCCATTGTCGTTGATCAGCTGGCGACTAATCGGCGATTGAGGGGTCGACGACATGTGATGGCAAAGTGTCGCGTGTTGTTGGGCTCGGGTTTCCTTTCGCGGTTGGCCGCGACGATCTTGGTGCTCTTCATGCTGCTCCTCTCTCATTCGTTTGCGATCCAGTGGCGACCTACTCCAAGTCTAGCGCCAACATTTGTGAATGGCATTGACGAGCCGCGACAAGACGCTTGCCCCCACCCCAAGATAACGCCAGAGGCTTCTTGGTTTCCTTCCTTTGGGATGGCCATTGAGTGAAACCCCTGGCTCAATCTGAGCCGAACATTGACCGAGACAGAAAATCGACTTGAAGGAGAGGAGACTGCTCGCGGTTGGCAATCGAAAACGGTGCGGAGGACGACGGCTTGTGAATCTAGCGCCCCTGGCTGATTCATTCAGTATAACGATGTCGAATCATTCAATTCGGCCAATGAAATCTGTCGGAGTCGAATTATTGTGTTGGCTGGTTATTTCTGTCGATACTGCGGCAGGGCTGTTGTTGGCGATTGCGGTGCAACGCATCATCCGCTGTTGTCGGCCCGCCGATGCGACGGACGTGGGAACTCAACAGAGGTAGAACATTTTCAAATAAATGGCTGGGAGATCTGAAGCTACATATAATCAAGAAAAGTGGAGGAAGGTTGAATCTAATTCGCATCCCGAGTCAAGCGCCGATGGTTTCTGTCGCTCGTATGAGAGTTGGAGACACAACAGGGTGAGGGGAATTCCAGAACAGCCGCCTTTGGCGATGGCCGCAGCAAAGACGCAGCGTACATACTGGGTATGCATCAATCCACTCACCCATGCAACAGTATCATGCAGCTATCCGCCTAAGTGCAATACCACTTCCCTTGCGCCTCAATATCTTCTAATCCAGACGCTCCCTTCATCTTCGCTCAGCCGTGGCTGAATCAACAGCGTGTTAGTGGCCAGGCGACCTCCTTGCAAGTTCTTTCAGCCGTCTTAGATTTCAGCTGCTCAGTGCGACCAGAATGCGACGTTTCACCTCTCGTCATGTCAAGTTTCCTCAGTCACCATGGCAGAAGCATCAAAACCTCCGCCGAAGCGGCGGATGCGAGTGCAAAAGTCGTGCACCGAGTGTCAAAAACGCAAGCAAAAGGTGAGTGATCGCCGTCCTTTCGAAGTCAATCCGGCTCGGCCCGGACTGTGCGATCCACCCATCTACCTTACCGTCTGAATCGGTGTTGAGAACAAGGGGTTGCAGTGCATAATCCGACGGCCAGATGCCCCCTGCGTGAACTGCTCGAGGCGCTTCCCTCCGGTGGAGTGTACCATCACGCAGGTCGAGTCGATCCCGAAGCCCGCCTATGAGGACCGGGTCCTCACCTTTGAGCTGTCGTCCTTCTCTGTGGGGTCCGGCAAACGACCCGAAGACTCGTTTGCGAATCAGACGTTTGCGCCCTTGAAAGCTCCGGGACCTGTGGCTCTGCAGACGCAAGCGAAGGAAGTCTGCAAGAAGTCTGGAGCTCGTGGGGGTTCATCCTGGACAGATTCTAGGAGATCATCTGAAGAAAAGCGACAGGAGAATGAAGCCATCATAGCACGGGCGCGGGCGCGGGCAAACCTCTTCCTCGACGGAAACGGCGACCCGATGGCCTTTTTCTACAACAGTCCCACGTCCATCGGAGGCATTCTCACCGAGGTGACAACGCTCAATGGGATGCCGCTTCCTCAAGGTCCCAGAACCACGGAGCTTCTTCATTTCTGTTAGTCGATGAGCTGCACTAATGACTCGCATCCTGGCTAATGGGACTGATTAGACATCCAAGTCGTCGCTCCGAACATGGTGTCAATCGATGGGCAAAGCCAGCCTCCCGTGTTCCTAGCAGAGGTTCTTCCTTGGATGCTTCAGTCACCGCTGTTTCCGAATATTGGCATTCTCATGTCGTCGACAACTCAGTCGTTGGAATATGGGCTGGAGATCACCAAGAATCCAGAATCACTTGCCCTGAAAGCTCATGTTTTGTCAATCATCGCTGAGTATATGGAGCGCCCGTTTGACGCAATCGCCGTGGAGATGGTACGAAGCGTTGTGAATCTGGTGGTCATGGAGGTAAGTTTGCAAGAGACACGGTCTCTTGCTCATTTATGTCGGATAGAGAAGGATGGACTCCAAAGGACATGACTAATTGCCCTGCAGTGGTTCTGGGGCGCTGATGAGAGCATGTTTGCTCACATGAGAGGCATCAAACGCATGATCAAGCTGCGCAATGGAATGAGAGGGCTGAAAGACATCGTAGGCGAGAGTATCATGATTCTGTAAGGCCGCGCTCAGCATCGTCAGGGTGCCGCCGCAATAATACTCACGATCAATGACCAGAACCGATTATGAGATTGCATGCTGCTTCGAGACCGACCTCTACTGGCAGGAGGACGACGCCGTGCGGGACGAAGAAATACCAGTTCCAACGACGTGGCCGGACGGGTACGACAGCCCACTGCTGGCTTCACCGACAAGCTTCGAGAGTGTTGCGGAGACGCTTGGGTTGTGCGTGGAAGCAGCGCGAGTGCTCGACGACGTGCGTTTTCTCACGATGTCGGTGACCTCGGCGGCCGCAGGGTTGGCGACAGGAGGAAGCCCGAAGATCCGAAGCACGGCATCGTGGCTGTACGATAAGCTGGGAAATTTGGGAGCGTCACGTTCGCGGCCCACAGAAGCCAGCTCAGAGGCGGACTGGGTGCTTGAGACAGTCAGGCTCGCGGGGCTGATCTACAGTTGGGCGGTGAGGTCTGTCCGCCAAATTTCAAAGTTTGACGATCAGGAGGTGCTGGAAGACGCGTACATGGCAATGAGACGGGTGAGTCTGGTGACCTGGAAGAAGATTCCGGGGGTCTTCCTGTGGATCATGTTGGTGGCGGCACCCAACGCGGGAGCGGACGCCAAGGGCAGGTTTGTCCGGAGGAAAATGGCCGTGACCGGGCTGTCGATCGGGTTTGAGGACTTTGTGCTCGGGATATCGTATCTGAAATCGTTCTGGGCGGTCCAGCAGTGGATCGCCAAGGAGGGCGATGCAGGTGTGCAGCGGCTCGAGGACAAGTGGTCGCTCGGGCTGGGAATGGGAAAGGAAATGACTGCGACGGTGGCAATGGGAGGAGGAGGAGAAGGAGGAGTGAGAGGAGGAGTGAGAGGAGGAGTGAGAGGAGGAGTGGGAATGGAGAGCGGCGGGCGGAAGCAGAAGCCGCAGCCGGAGATGGAGCTTGCGATAGAGCCGGGACACTGACAGAGGCAGGAGAAGGAGATGGAAGAAGCTTTGACATTGGTGAGAGCCCAACAGAAGCGAAGGGAGGGTCGGGAGGAGAGACGAGAGAGGGTCAGGCTCTGGCTCTGCATCGGCTCGTGTTTGGTTGTTGCATTGCGTGTTCGAACGGAGTCATGCGTCACGATGGCATCAAAATTTGACTGGTCTGACCGAGTTTGTTGGTGGCGCAGGAGTCGGGGATGTTTGATGAGCTCGTCTCTGGGTCGTCTGGCCGAACGGACTTGTGGCCGTCAACGGTCAACTCCCAGAGAGGGAGATCACGATGGTGGC